TATGAGTTACTTAAATTTGCTCTTAGGTTATAGTTTAAATTTACATTTGTTTAGGGTCTGGGAAAACCCGACCTTTTTACACCCGACGAGCCCGAGTCAAGAATACGAATATTTTTCGGGTCCGGGTCGGTGTCCCATACGTCTTTATAACTCGCAATTATAACAATAGCATGAAAGGATTTTTCGTTCTCACGCCGATTTAAAAAAAATGGATTTAGTATATATTAGGGTGAATGAAACGACTTTAGCCGAATTCAACGTTTAACGTTAATATATTATTCTATACTTTTATTATGATACTAAACTACCAAATAAAATTGACATTACTTTTAAAAAAAATTTTGCGTTAGTATTTACAAACATAATTTATAATTTATAACAAAATGCATGTAATTATGCTAGCAAAAATAAAATCAACTAAATTAAAATACGTATAATACATAACAGAGAAATTATTTTTTACTTAAAAAATAAAACTTTAAAAAACTAATGCATTCAATGATTTATCCAATAATCTAGAACGAATTCTTGTATAGAAGATAGATGCTACAAAAAATGTTCGATCGGAATTTGTTGAAGTTGGTTTTATCGTCATTACCGCTTGATACAGTTTTTCTAAATATGCAGTTTTTTTCTCAGTCTTTGAAAACAATTAAAATTCTTTTTTAATATCAGCAAATTTATCTCCGCAACTTGGCAAAATTGGACATTTCGCAATTACCATTGGATTCTTTCTTTTTTCTTAACATAAAATCAATTTGTCGCTGCGAAGAGCTTCAACAGTTAATTTAATAGACTTTAGCGTATTTTCCAATTCATGTAATAGTTCAATATTATTATTTTCTATTAAATGTACACTTCCAATATCTTGAAGAGATTCTTTAACAATAGAAAATTATTTTAAAAATCTAGATACCATTTCGAGCAATGAGTTCCAACGAGTTCTTACGTCACTAGTTGAAGTTCATTTCCTAAAACTAACTATAAATATTATTTAGCACAGAAATTTTTTTTAAAAATTTAACAATTATACGAACACTTTTTATATTTTCTTTTACATTTCCTATATTTGACAGCAGCCGCGGCGCAATGGTAACGCACTTGCCTCAGAAAAGTAAGATCCGTGGTTCAAACCCCACCTTTGAGCAAGTTGTGCGACATCGGTTGGGTAGAAGGCGTGAACTTCCTATTAAATGCTCTTCCGCGGTGCCCTGTGATAAGACCGTAAGGAATTCTTGGGACACCTAAATCAACAAAAAAAAAATAAAAAAAAATTCATTATGTCCGTATTCTTCAACGTAATCGCCGCTCTCGTCAGCATGACAATTTTGATCATCATCAATACCATCTTAACCATGCTCATTACTATCACCATCAATATCATCTTCATCTTGCAAGACAGCAATATTTTTCTTTTTATATAGTACATCACAAACAGCTAAGTGTAAGTGTAACCAAGTGTAAGTGTAAAACAAATTATAGAGATTAGGAGATTCTTGTCCGAGTTTATCATTACACTTGCACCGTCGCCGGTTGAACCAACTATATATTTTTAAAATTGATGTTATATGTGTTTAAACGTTGTTCTACTTTTTCAACTAATATTACAGCTGTGCACGAGTTAAAAATTCTCACTAAACCCAGATTACACACTTCAGAGCCAATACCATGCAAATTAATATTTAGATATTTCCGAATTTTCATACTTGTCCATTCATCAATTGAAATGTTAAACCATCGGCTTTCTTTAATTTTTTCATGAAACAATTCTAGTATTTCCAACTTCTTTTTTTCATAAAATTTATCTATTAAATTCGTAACATCTCTATCGGCTTTAGGAAGATTATAATTTAATTTTACTAAACTTTCACGAATAAAGCTAGACCCTGTAATCGCCCTAACTGATATACCATCGAGATTGGCTATTTTAGCAACAATTTTTTCTAAAGGCTTTCTTTCAACGGAAACATAAGTGTCGTTAATTTTAAATCGTTTGGTAGTGGACTTTTCTTCTCTTTCTTTTCGTGTTGGTAAAGAAATTCCATATTTAACTTTTAAATGTTTAATCATTGATGAAGTGTTTCTATCTTTGTTTGATATAATCGTTGAACACTTATTGCATTTACCACTTTTCAAATCGGTACATTGGGTGAAATAGTCCCACACTTTTGAATTCTTCGACATAATGGGGCTGTATAAATGTCACATTAAAATTATGATATTTCACTTTTTTCCTAAAATGGAGAAATTAATTAATAATTTAAGGATGAGTGTTTTTTTAAAGTTTTTTAAATATGCGCTAAAAGAATTAACTTATTAACCTCAATCTTTCTAATCAAAAGTTAACAACAATTAACAATCGCTAATATAAAAACATTTGATTAGAAAAAAATTTAAGTTATGAAGTTAGTGTGTATTTGGACATTCATAGAAACATGCATAAACTTGAATGTTCTCAATTTATATAAAAAACCGTGTTCAAGTTCAAATTTAAGTGTCAAATTAGGTTAAGTTCACAAACCCTACTACTGTAGGGTTTTCTAGAAATGGAAGGGATACAGTGTAACGACGCGCCGCTGCGTACGAAACAAAGACAATAAAATCATTAGACTTGCTGAGTCTTAAACCCGGTATCGAATCCGGGTATTTACCCATGGACTCTCCGAGTCCGGGTACCCGTAACCGAAAAACCCTACATTTGTTTCAAACTTATTATTAATGTTTGCTAGAGAGAGATTGTTATTAAATCGATACATAAAGATTAAATGCTGATAGGTATTTATATCAAATACATCCATCATTTTCATATCTTTCATTAAGGCTTTAGCGTGTTCACGTTTATCTTTAGAGTAAATGATCCTGCTGCCATGTTTTTGTAAGCTATAAATTTTTTTAAGTTTTGATGGTTGTGTACTTGCCTATAAAATAATTGTATAGCTGATGAAGCAATGAATTAGTCCAAAATATATTAGTTTGAGACTTTGTTTATTGATATACGGACGAACTCGATCCATCGTACCAACAGTTTTAGTGATCTTAGACTGGATATATTTTATTTGAAATAGCTAAAATAAATTTTCATCAATCAAAATCCCTAATTATATACATGCTTGCCTTTTAACTAATTTATCATTTGAGATAAGATCTGGCAACTTAAAAGGACGGTTTTCCTCCTTATTGTTTTAAACAATATTATATAGTTAGTTTTCTCAACATAATGTGAACGTTTGTTAGCCTTAAACCAACTATTTACTTTATTTTGTTCAATGTTCGTATCTGAATATAATTTTTTGACATCAGTGTTAGTAATACACAAATTTGTATCATCAGCAAACACGACTGAATTCAGTTTTAAACATATATTACAAAAATCATTTACATATTTAGAAACAGGAGTGAACCAATAATTAATCCTTGAGGGAATCATAAAACATTTAGCACTCCAGATTATTTACATATTGCTTTCCATTCGTAAGATAACTTTTAATAAAATAAAGTTTTATTAAATATCCCATAATGCTTTAGTTTATTTAAAAGAATGCAATGATCCACTGTATCAAATGCTTTTGATAAGCCAATAAACACTCCTAAGGTAAGTTTGTTATATTTAAAACCATCAATTATTTGATTTACTATTTCAAGAATTGCGTGTTGAGTAAAAAGATATTTTCAAAATCCAAACTGATTTTGGTAAAAAAATTGTTTTTAGTAAAATGATTATAGATTCCATTATAAATTACACGTTCAAAATACAGAAAGTATTGATATAGGTCTATACAGGGCCCGCGCAAGTATGTGTCACGTGGTGGGGTGCCAAAACAACTTTTGCGGACTAAAATATAAAATAAAATAAAGGTCCTCGTTTTTTATAATTTGACTGCCTTATCGACATTTGCCGACTGATTCTCTGAGTTTACCGACTAACTTGTTGAAAGGGTCAACATTTGCCAACTGACTAATCAAAAAAGGTCAAATTTGCCGACTAAATGAACGAAAAAGTCATTGATGGAAGGGGTGTCACCCACCCCTCTATCGCGCCAGCCTTGGCTCTATAGTTAGTAATGTCTAAATGATCATTATTTTTGTATATAGGAATTACTTTTGCTAATTTAAGTACGTCTGGAAAAATTCCAGTTGACATTGAGAGCTTTAGGATATGGATCAGAGGTTTGCTTAAGGTGGTTCATCACAAAAAAAAAGTTGATAAGTTTTTTTTTTTTGAGAAAAAATAATATTATCTTATCTGATAGAAAATTTTAGTCACATTTAGTTTTTTGAAAAAGAATATACCTTTTGTTTGATATTTTTTGTGATATTTAACCTTTTAGTAGGTGCATAAACAAATAAGTCCTTAGCAACGCCTTAGTTACCGTTTAGGATCAACCCATTGCTAAGATTACGTTATTATAGGTCTTTCAATTATATATTGTTTTCTGAATCTGTTATGTGAAATATAACTTATCTTAAACTGCATTATGGGATATTTTAAAATAAAAATGTTGTTTAAAACGTTCGCTATCAACTACGAGTATACTCGTAGTAAAAAAACGCTATTTTTTGGCCAACTACGAGTATACTCGTAGAATGCGTGCGTAAAAAATTGGCCAACTACGAGTATACTCGTAATTCAACTAACATATTAAAAATTTCATTTTTAACAATGTTTAGCTATGTTAGTTCATATAATATATATTTTTTTAACTTTAGAATAGATTTTAGAAATAACTAAGTTATAGACTTGTACTTCGTAAACCCCCCGTGTTTTATATAAATCGTGATAAAGGTATAAGAAACTTAAAACAAATAAAAGTATTATATGCTTAATATTTAGGTTTTTTTTCTTGAAAAATATTTTGAAAACCTTTTATTTTACATGGCATATTTTAAAACATTCCCCAACACATAACGGAGGCTTTTTTCACATACAACGCATTGATAGCGTGTTTCCTTGCGTTTCATTTTAGAGCAAACACGACAAGGTTTTGTGGGCAATTTTTCACTTAATTTGGTGGTATAGCAGTCAAATAATGAAGTTTGTTGTTGTTGACTTGAGGAACCAATGTTTCTTCGTTTAAGTGCTCACATAATAAGTTGGTAGCAGATATTTCCCGAAATTTAAGCAAGGAGATTGCTTTATCTGTTTCATACTTGCAGTTAAGACAGTAAACATTAAATACAAATATATCGAAAATATGAATAGCTACTTTTTTATACCATCTAGTGTTTTTTTTTAGACAGTTATAATAAGATACCATTTGATCAGCTCGATCAACTCCTGACATGCCTTTATTATAATCTCGAATTATATTGGGTTTAAGTTTATTTACACCTCTTCTGTTCGTCACTTCAACCATCTCTAATGAATGCATGTTGCTAATCATTAGAACGTCTCTTCTATCTTTCCATTTAGCCACAATTACTCGTTCCCTGCTTCTGCTCGACAACGATTGCTGTTACAAAACGCTTACGAGCATACTCGTACGTTGGTACTGGCGAAAAAAATTTCTTCTCCATTGCCAAAGTGCGAGTATACTCGTAGTGATTTTTTTTTCTTTTTTATATTCAAAATAAAAAACGCTTTTAAATTATGCTTGATAGAAAAAATGTTATTTATTGAAATGTTGATATCTAGCCTTGGCAGTGAGAACAAAACCACGCCAAACAGCCTCGGCTGAAAATTAATGTCGCATAATTTACGGCTTGCCAGTGTAATAACGCCTTGCTAAAACAGATTTGGCAGCGAACGTGTTAACAGTGTGCTTGTTATAGTAAAGTTCAAATTTTAATTAAATAATTCTCTGTGATTTTCATATTGTTTTACAGTTTATTTTTAAAGCTTTTAAATGGATAATAGTAAGAATGTATCACGAGAAACTTGTAAACGGCTTGTACTTGTAAACGGACTTGTAAACGGCGCATCCCGCTAAGTTTAAAACACGTTTATTGAAAATGATACTTTACTGACCTAGTAAAATTAATTAAATTAATTAAAGAGTAATTACATCAATTTATTATAATTGATAAATAGAAGTAAATGTAAATGCTTTGACTAACCATTAGGGATTGACACAACGAAATATACATTCATTAATTGAACGTAAGAATTGGGACAGTTTTAGTCATGATTATTAGTATTTCATAGGGGTGCGAAACATATAATTCCATTTCAGAATCTTTACATATAGCTTATGAAAATGCTGCAGAATAAAGTATGCAAAAAGCTACTCATCAGATAAAAGAAAATATGTTTAAGCTTACTAACGGTCAAACTCAGAATTCAAATGAGGCAATGAATCATATAATTTGGAACAAATGTACAAAAAATATCTATGTTAGTAGAACCATATTAGAACTTGATGTTTATTCAGCTATACTGGAGTTTAATGAAGGATCTTTTGGAGTAGACTTAGTCTTTAAACAATATGGAATTTTATGTAGTCAACCTTTTTTTAAACTTTCATATAGCAGAGATAGTTCAAGAGTTAAAACTTTAGACAAAAAATTGACTGATGGTGCAAAACAACGCAGAAAAACCATAAGAACTATAAAAAAAGGACTTATTGACATTGAAGATGAATCAAGTGTTACAAAAAGTTATTCTGCAGGAGCTTTTTAAGATATTTAATTTTTTAAATGGTTTTTATGACACATCAAATTTTTCTTCGTTTTTTCTTCACTTCAAACATCATAATTCGGTCAAAATTTTATCAATTCACTTGAAAATTTTATCAATTCACTTGAAAATTTTATCAATTCACTTGAAAATTTTACCAATTCAATTGGAAATTTTATCAATTCACTTGAAAATTTTATCAATTCACTTGAAAATTTCAGGTTCCTAATAATATTCAGTGACTGTTTTACTAAAATGCAAAAAAATCAAAAAAATAACTTTTAATAAAATATTCACAAAAATGAATCAAAAATGAGTTTTATCTTCATTAATTCAATTTTTTTTTCGCTTATCCTCTAGTACAATATGTATTGGCATTTCCATTTCTGTGCGTGGTTTTTTATTTTTCTTTGTTTTAGCAATTGAAAGATGGGACTTTATGCAATATGCATACTATTTTGATTTTCTTAAAGAACAATTATAACAAAAATATTTTTATCATATTTTCTGAACAAATTAAATATACACATTTTTACAATTTTATTTTTTTGAGTAATAATATCGCTACATTTTGAAAAATATACAATAATTTTCAAAACGCCATACTCTAGCTAGAAATAATTGATGACTGCGGTTTCTCATCGAAAATATATTAAATATGAGTCGCAGAAGTATAATATTTCACTTGAAATACTCACAAGCAATTTATTTTCATAAAAATAACTACTTGAAATTGACAAATTTGCAACATCCGTGCGTGACTTCTGTGCGTGATCATTCATAAACTGCATTTAAACGATTGTTGTGACTCTATGATTCATAGTGCAATCTTGTAACTTTCTGGAAATCTTTACTAATGTTTAAAATATTATTTTAAAAAAAAAGTATACCGGTTAAACTTATATTGTCCGAGGAATTTAAGTTTATTTATCTAGTAACTAAAATAGAAGTTTTTCTGTTCCGTGCGTGATTCCATTTCAAACTTTATTTATTCTTTGTTAACATTACTAATGCTTACTATTTTTTGTTTACAAAATATTTATATTAATTAGAATTAAATGAGAGTAAATTGGAGATCGCTAGTTTAATTTTTATGAAAATAAAAGTAAAAACATATACGAGTTTCCGTGCGTGATTTTTTGGAAATGCCCGTATAGAAAAGGTTTGACAAATTTTATTCAAAATGAACTAGGTTTTCTTGAGTTATTAGGTTTAAGGTTTGCTATGATTTTTCCACAAAATGTACCTATTTTTGTTAAATAAGTAAAAAAAATTAAGCAAGATTTAAAAATTTTTGAAATTTTTTTTTATGAGTTGCTGTAAAAAATAGTTTGTTTGCAATTAAAAGCAAAAAAATGGCGAGCTTATTTTTTTCTCCTTAATATGTTATTTATGTCGGACTACGTTTTTTTAGTATCAAATTTGCATCTAATAATTCGATTACTGTAGTATTTTTTTTGTTAGCATTTTTAATAAGATTTTGGTAAAAATATTTATAATTTTTGTAATTTTTTTCATTATTAGCGTTTTCATTTATTGGAAACTTATTACAAAGTTTTTGCTTCAATTTTATGCATTTCAGCGATTTATCCATCCACGGATTAGCAAGTGATTTTGTTTTAATTTGTTTTTTGACTTCTTGTGGACAGGCTTCATTAAAGTATTGTATAAATTTACTTAAAAAAGTATGAGGTTTTTGTAACTCACGTTGGTTTATTAATAGTCGACAAGACATTGAATTTGAAAAGCATATTAAAAAAAGATTTTATTTTTGGAAATTTTGAATAAGTTAGAGCACCAAGGTTTATGTCACCAATAACGTATAAGTTTTATTTTCTTTATTTATTTTTACAATTGTATTTTTGATAAAAGTTCCAAAAGGTGTGATTTTACCACTTGTGGACGGTAAATACATCCGAATAATATATTTCGATATTTTTTATTAATAATCTCAATTAAAAGACTTTTAAAATTGTCATTTGACAAGCATAGTAGGTTTTTCAACTTAAAATCATGCTTTTTTAAAACATAAACCCCTAATCCTCCACTTTTTTTTCCACTACCTCACGGTTGACTAATTAGTTTATAGAATGACAATTATGAAGTTTATAGATTGGCATTATAAATAGAATTCAATTCAAGAGAACTTTCTGAATCGTGCCAAGTCTTTGAAAGAGATATGACGTCGAACGTGTCATTTAAAATATTCTATAAGTTTTTCGAAATTTTGCTGCATGGTTCTAATGTTAAAAGTAAAACAGAAAAAGAACAATCATCAGTTTTTACTTTAAAATCAAAAGTATCAATGTATGTTGTGTTCATTTGAGCCTCCTGAAAAATATTTAAATATTTTAGGAAAGGTTATTTATAACGTTGTCCTCAAACGGATTCGGATTAAAAATTTCAAAATTATTTTTCATTTCATGTTGCGTAGCCATCTTTAATGGATTGTTTAAAAAATAAAATAAATTTCCAAATAAAATAAGAATATATAGATATTTAATAAATCAAAGAATTTAAAAAGCTTACTAGTTCTCGTGCGTCGAATTAACAGCTGTCCTGCGGTTAATTTCTTCATTTCCACGCATTGAATTAACTCTAAATTCATGTACAATAAGTTTATAGTATACAATTTTGGCATTATAGCCATTATGACGATGTAGCTTTGCTTGTTCAAAGAGTTCTTTTCCTATTTTCCGTGTAGTAAATCAATCAAAGTTGATATCAATTTTTTTTTTTTTTGAGTTTCATCGCTTAAATAACGGAAAATTCTATGTATAGGGAGGGGGGGGGGCTTAATCAAAAATTGACGTAATTTTATAGGTCTCTGGAAATTTGACAAACTGTGGACAAGGGGGAGGGGAGGAGGTGAAAATTTCAAAAAATTTGTTGACGTAATTATAAAAAAATGTAATCAAAAAGTTTTAGGACAATTGTTCGCTCTCGTCTCTCTTTTGCGACCCCCACTCTATGTGCTTGTTCTATATTTATAGCTTTCTCTATACCAAGTTTTACTTTAAAAAGATGCTTTACCTTTTCTTTAATGATATCTTAATCTTTTTCGTCGCTGCTTTCTAAAACCCCGTCAATTCTCAAGTTATTTCTTTTATTACGGTCTTCACTATCCACACTCTTTAGTTTTAGTTTGTTATTTTCCGAAGATATTTTGCCCTGTATTTTTCAAACATTGGTTAAATATTTGAAAACCTTATTAATTTTTTTGCCCACTGCTTTTACTTTATCTTCACATTCATCTCCAACAAAATTCATGCCTGATTTTAATTCATTTAGTTAGTGTCGAACATCTTGAAAACACGTTTAAAAATCTTTTGACTTGATTATCGAAAAAAAGATAGAATCGTTTCTTTTTTTAGATCAAGCAGCTTTCTCATCATAACAATCGAAACAAATTCGTCTGATTTAGCCATTATAAACTATTTTAAGTAAAAAATTTTTTTTTTGTCTGAAAGAAAAAACGCATTCGTTCACCACGATGGAAACCACAGAAAAATATCTTCCTTAATTAAAAGTTCTAAGTTATTAAACATGAAGTAATTTAATAAAACATTAAATTACTATTTATTTCAACCTTTTATGACTAATACAATCCAAATGATTAAAAAAATATTTTTGTCCACCTATATTGTATGAGACGATTTACTATGCGTTAGAGTTGTATAAATTTATCTTTATAGCATATATATACAATAAAAACAAATTTATTTTTGTCGTCAAAAATGA